AGTTTACATTGGTCGTATAAGAATCACAGTTAAGGTTAAAAACACAGATTGGTGGCGTGGTGTGGGTATCCACCTGGTATATCCTAGGCACGCTGGGAAGGCTGAGGCGAGGTAGAAAAAATTTGGGTTATGAGCCAGCGGTTCAAGACCAGCCCTGAGAAGAATGAGACCCCATCTCTACTAAAGAAATAGAAGAGGAATTAGCTGAGAAACTAAAAAAAAAAACTAATAATATATATAGGAAAATAACAGAAAGAGAAAGATGGGCCAGCTGATCATAGTAAGAATAATAGGAGCAGAGGAGCGGAGATCTCTTGAGACAGGATTTGAGAGTTGCTGTGACTAGGTAGATGCAGCACACTCTAGCCTGCGGCAACAGAGTAGAAATATCCTGCTCCAAACAAACAAACAAACAAAACAAACAAACAAACCACAAGATTGCTCAACTCTTCTTCTCTCACCTTATTCACAAATTCATCTATAGATAAGCTGAGGAGAGCGATATGCCTTCCAACAGTCTTAGGGTTGCTGATGCATAGCTGGTCTGGAGCTGCACGTTTGAGACACAAATGCATATACGCCTATTAATAGCTACAACAATGTAACTGGTCTCGTAAAAGTATGCAGCTCCACACCAATCGTCATCCCATGCATATTTATATTAAGAGCTGATCATATATCTCTGGTACGTTGCAAACATACTCTTGGCATACAGGCTCCTTACTTCCTTGTGTGTCCATGCAGCCTGAGAACAGGCCTCTTTCATTACTGCAGACCAGATGGTTTCATTTGACCATGTGGACTTGGCACCATATAAATGGCTCCAAGGACATACGAGTGAGTTGTTGGCTGGGGGAGATTGATGGAGAGAGGGGAGAGATGGGGCGATTCTGCTGGAAAGAAGAAACAGCATATTCTGTGTGTGCTTAGAGACAACCCATGGCGTCCTGAAAACTCAACACACCTGTTGTGCAAAAAGCCTTTTTTTTTTTGCACTTTCTAAATAGAATAAGACAATTTTTAGGTCGGAGTGGGTAGATCCCCAACATAACGTGCTGTCTTATTATTAGGGTTGGAGTCAGGTTGAATGAAAAGTTATTTTCATTGTCATCACACTCACAGGCCACAAAGAAGGGAGATTTACACCCTATGTCCTTGGCGTCATAATCCTGCTCTTCTCTCTAAAGGTCCTTTCTCCACCCAATCTGTTTTGTTTTTTTTTCAGCATATTATGGGGGTACAGATTTTTAAGGTTTCAACAACATGCCCTTTCCCCCTCCCGCCCCATAGTCTGAGTCTTCCAGCACTGACCATCTCCTAAAAGATGGTTGCACATCATCACATCATTATGATGAATACCGGCTCCCTCGCCACCTGCCCTATACCGTATTATAGTCTAGCTATTGTCCGACTTAAGGTGCTACAGTTAAATACAATTTTGCTGTGAAGATATAATGTTGGTGGCCTTGTTTTCCATGTCTTGGACAACTACTTAGAGATTGATTTCCACTGCTAACCAGCGAAATATAAAGATACGCTATATCACCGTTGTTATCTTTAGAGCTGAATAGTAAATCCATGGATACATAACCCACATTTATTAACAATTTTGATTAGATGGGCACTTGGCTGTTTCCACAGCCATTGCAATTATGAATTGTGCGGCATATAACATTCGAGTGCAGTGGTACTTTTTTGTAGAGTGTCATTGGATCTTTTCTCCACCCAATCTGATCCTTTGTTGTCTTCTGTCCCTTCGGCAGGAGGAGAGCTTATGCACCCCTGATACATATTGGGATTCTGGACAGAGGTAGTGACTGGATTCAGCATGGGGAGAACTGAGGCAAGGCTGGGAATGAGAGGCTGGAGGCCAGACCCAGACGCAGGTATCATTTGGGCCAGGAAGTGCCCAGAAGTCATCCGTTAGAAAGCAGGGAGCATAATGACCCTTGTGCTCACAGTGAGGCGGTGGGTCAGAAACCAGGTGAAAGGTGGGGAAAGCACTAGGGATGGGGTTCCAGGAATGGCAGAGCTCAAACCTGAAGGGAGGCCTATCTTTGAAGCTCCTTATACAACTTCTGCAGAGATGATGAACAAGACAGGTGCCTCTCTTTAAAGTGCTAAATGGTTCGTCTAGCTGATCTGGCAGACTTCAGGGCATAAAAAGAACCATTAATAGTTATCTGTAGGGGAGGCCTGGGGACAGGCACGGGGCATTTCAGAGGTATTGCTAATATTCTTTTCTGTATGCTGTTAATTCAATCATTTATTTTATTGCTATTTTAATGCTTAGATAATTTATATTCTTCTGTAATATTCAATATGTAACAATTTAAAAAAGGATAAAAGATAGTGTTAATTGAGCATCAACTATTCCTAGCAACAGTGCATCAAGGTAGATTTTCTCCTCATTTTAGAAATAAGGAAATTGAAGCTAAGAGACAGAGAGAGAGAGAGAGAGAAGAGAGAGAGAGTCATTTGCCCACGTAGGTATAGAATTGGAACCTGAACTCAGTTTCATCTATCCACAAGGCCTACTCTTTCCAATAAAGGGTGAGGCAATTTGGGCCACAGTTTGTGTTCCAGGTTTCCTCCTGATCTCCTCTGGAGTTCTCTGTCCATGCAGGCAGTCACCCTGTCTCCCAATGATGGATTCTTATACCTCTTATATTCTTGTCTGCTAACATTCAATCACCTCTTCTGGAAAGTTTTAGAAATTGTTTTTTTTCAAAATTAAAAAATTCTCAGATTATTAAGATGTCAATCACTTTCCATTCTAACCTGAAAATCTGGAGGAGGGAGAGCGGACTTTTGCAAGCCCTGAAAATTAAATTTGTTTGTATGACATGTCACCCTTACATTCAACAGGACTGTCCCCGGTGACACAGCTGCAGTGCACACAGGAGAACACCCTGATTCATCAGGATCGCATTGCGCCGTGTTGTGTAAGTCCCCTCTTCACCTTTGTGAGTGAGAGTCACCCCAGAGTTTTATATAAAACAGTGCTGTGTCGCCCAAGAATGTCCCGCCCTCCCTCACAGGACAGGAGCTGGGGCTGAGCCGTACAGTAAAACCGAGTTTATAGCGCTGATGAGTCACAGGGATGGAGAGGTCTGGGCAGCAGCTGCAGCCAGCATCAGCACCTAGAGGAAGGCAGAAGGTGGAGACCACGGCTTGGGGGTCATGCAAGTTTAGGAGTCATGGATTAATAGCCACATCGGGGCACCCCGGGGAATCACAGCATCCCCCCCAATAGCTCAAGAACAAAGTGGACAGCCCAATCTGGCTGTCCAAGAACAAAGAACAGCCCAAGAACAAAGTGACAGCCCAATTTTTTACAGGACACTGAACTAAAGCCAGGACTGTGTCAATTGGCTAAAGCCAGAGCAGACATATGTGTCTTAATTTATTTTGATAGTTCTTGCCTCTGAAACCCAAAAGTTGGGAGATGATAAACTTCTCAGATTTTGCTTTTGAATATGGTATTTTCAGTAAGTTCCTACTCAAAGATACTTTTCCACCTTCCTATCTGACATCAGAGCAACTCAGCACCATTTGATTAGACTCCCCAGCCTCCCTGTGTAGCCAGGCCAGCCTGTTCTCTCTCTCCTGTGACGTTTTGCTGCAAATTGAGGTCTCAGCAGTAGCAGCTGTGACGCTGGGCAGTCAGGCATGTGGCGAATGCCTCCCAGGCCACTTTCCCTCTCAGCAGTGCCCACTAGGTGACGCCTGTGAATGGGACAGGCTCTCCAGAGCACCAGCCTTCCTCACTTCCTTCCTCCCCAGGCCCACATCTTGGCTAGAAGATGCTTAAGTGGCAGGATCCCAAAGAAATTCTTTTGTGCCTATGCTCAGCCTGTGATGATCTTAGGCAGCTCCCTTTCTTTTGATAGGGGAGGCTGATGTCTCCATGTAGTATATGTGATGGTTAAATTATAAAAGCAGGAAAAAAAAAAAAAAACCCTGCATGACTCGAACAGCTTTAGATTTCTGGGCAGGTTCATAACGGCTTTAGAAATGCAAACAAAATTCCCCAAACTAAGGTGACCTGGGGCGGTAAACTGAATATTGAACTTTCTGGAAAGACAACTGGAGACAGGTGTGATTCTGTCTCACTTCAGCAGCGGTCCCCAAACTTGAGTGTGCATTGGGATCACCTGGAGGGATTGTTACACCACAGATTTCTTGGTTCCACCCACAGTTTTTGATTGAGAAGGTCTTGGATGGGGCCTGAGAGCTCACATTTCTAACAAGTTCTTAGGTGATGCTGCTGTTCCTTGTTTGGGGGCCTCACCCAGAGAAGCGTGTCGCAACCTCGCTCTTCCCTAAGTATGTGGGGGAGAGAAAAGGGTATAGAGACGGGGATGTGGCTAGGTGGGGCGGGGGGGAACACACTGGGAATTGCTGTAAACAAAGAGTCCCTCTTAGCTACAGCAGAAGTCACTTTCCCCTCTTCTCCTTTTCCCATCTTTGAATGGCGGCGGCGGCGGGGGTTCCCATATTCTCCTTACTCCAAAGAATGTCAACAACACATTGCGCTTTGTTAGCTAAATCGACCAGGCAGGGGTAAGTTACATCTAATAGCAAGTCAGGGACAGATAACCAGGCAGCTGGGCCATTGCTGGAGATGCATTGAGGTAATTTATTTAAATTTGCTCGATTGTTTTTCTAGTAGGGAAATGAAACGTTTCCTTTGTACCGCAGGTGTTCAAGTGCTTTTTTAATGGCTAAATTTTTAAAGCGACAGTCAAGTCAAGGTTAGGAAGGTTCTACGAGAGCACATTCATAGCCAGTGGTTTCGGAACATCCTAAATATAGCTCTTTCGGCTCTTTATAAAGGGTTAAGGGGTGGGTGTGTATGTGTGTATGAAAATATAATTGTTCTCATTATATCTTAAATGACCCTTGAAGGTTGTGTTAGCACTGCGGAACTTCCTCACGTGCCGTAGCCTCTTTCTACAGGTTTTTTTTGGATGTTTCTTCTTTTAAAAAAACCTATTCTATGAAGCACAAGATAGGTTAGTTTGACGATCTGCAGTCTACAGGTGAGGACTGTGGTCCAGGGAGGCTGACAGGCCAGAAGTTCTTATACTTCGTTTACCATCCACACTGGAAACAAGAAATCCTTAGACTCTAATTTCTAGGCCCTGTCTCTATTTTTCAGCCCTTGCCCTTCCACCTTGACTCTGTCTATTTAAACAACTCTTGGGCAAATTTCCACTAAATTTGCTGTAGTTGCGTCTCGTCTCCAGTTATACTTGGGGTCACCTTAAGAGAGAGTGTTTCCCCCATGCTGAAATGTTCATCCTCCAGGTTGATAGCGTGGCAGCAGGCGTTTTCCTTTTTATCTTTCATGTAATGACCGTGAAATCCCTTCCACAAGAACACAGAGGTTTTGTTCTGTTCTGTTTCTAATTTCAGAACAATGAGTCTCCCATGCACCACCACCCACCGGAAAAAGAGTGCGGCAGTGACTGACAAGGTGAGGTCTTTGTTTGGTTGTATTTCAAATCTTTCGCTTTCTGAAATCCTTAACACTTTGGCTATAAATCACTAAAAGGTGGATGTTCTCTAAAATGAATTTTGCATGAAATGTCAGCCAAAGTCTAGGGGACGGCTACGATATTTACGACTGGTGGTATTTCTTAGGGGAGGTAAAAGAAAATGAAGCCAATATAGTTTAGCTTAGAACTGAGGGCAGGGAAGATAGCAGATTTCTTTCTCTCGCCCAGTTATTTTGTCTCTGCCATTTTCAGCGCAAATAAAACCTGCAATTCTCAAAGCAAAGGGTTCAGGGATGTTTATCCATATGGGTAAAGTATGGGTTAGAAGAATGTGAGCAGCTGTGTAAGAGGAAAACAAACAAACCTGAAACTACTATGGGAATGTATTTGCTAATAGGGAGATTGTTTTACTAAGTCCTCTATTTCTGAAAGACGATTCGATCCTAGTCATAGCTCCTCATAGTTTGCCTTGGAAAGCAAACTGCTGTGTTTATTTGGGGGAAGAAATGTTTCACAGATAACGTAACTTCCATTTGTGTCCCGTCACTGATAGGAAAACACACAAAACATCTCTGCCAGCTATTTGAGGGCCTCCAACTCTGGCACTAACTTTTTTTTTTTTTTCATTAAAAAGTCATATTTCTTGGCAAGAAATATGTATTATGTGAGATTTAAGAAGTGATACTTAAGAGAAAGGTAGGCTAAGAATCTAATGCATTCTTTCAAAATTTCTACATCACCGAACGGCTTCCCTTTTTTTCCCAAGCATATAAACTATAAGTTGCTTCTGTGGCATTATTTCCAGGTCTTATTGCTGCTTGAATGTATTGACTTTGCTTTTGCTTTTTCATCTTTTAATTTCTGTGGTTACAACCTTTTGCGCCTCTCCCTCTAATTTAAAATATCTGTGGTCCTTATGAGTGTTACAATGCTGATGAGCGATGAATTCTTAATTTCTTTAATGTCGATATTGCCATGTCACAAAGCGAGCAAATTATCTTTAGCAGAAACAAGATAATATTGCAATTCCCAGTCCTCATTAAAAATCTATTCTCTTCTTTCAGGGGTCTCTTCATCTCCTTTGACATGATGGGCTGTTAAGTGGACAGAACTAAAAAATACTGTCGAGTTGCGCTACCACTTACAAATTCTACTTCAAAAGAAATGCAGTGCACCATAGTCAAAAGCTGATAACAGGCTGGTGTACTTGACTCCCATAAACTGTGGCCAACCAGCCTCTTGCAGTAGTGGCTCAGGTGGGGGAAGTTAGAACTAAATCACGAGAATAGCAGCCGTTAATTTAGCCCTTATGGCTTACTAATGTTCTAATTGTGCCGGTCAATTTGGGAGGATTATTTCACTGAAACTTATTTTATTCTTTGGTATTTTAAGTATGTTCATTTGAAAATAAAATAAAAATATAAAAGATGGGAAAAAAAGTGTTTATAAAAATAAAAGAATTTGTTCTGTAAAATTTGCATTCAGTCGAAAGACCACACTTAAGGACCTAGAAGGCCACACACAGGTAGCCTTAGGGCTGTAGGTTCCCCACCCCTGATTTAGGACTTCTTAAATTTCTTTCACTAAGGTTTTATGGTTTTCAGAATATAAATTTTGCACTTCTTTTGTTAAATTTATTCTTAAGTTTTTTTTATACTGTTATAAATAGACTTGTTTTCTTAATTTCATGTTTGGGTTGCTTATTGCTACTGTGTATAAATACGATTTTTTTTGTATTAATATATTGATCTTGTATGCTGCAATCTTGGTGACCTCATTCATTAGCTGTAATAGTTTTTTAGTGGATATAGGATTTTTTATACAAAAGATCATGTTCTTTGTACATGTATCTCATGTGCTAGAGATAGTTTTACTTTTTTCCATTACGAATGCCTTTTATTTCGTCTTAGTGCCTAATTTCCCTGGCTAGAATCTCTGTATAATCTTTGCTAAAAATGGTGAATGTGGATATTCTTGTCTTGTTTCTAATCTTGGGAAAGACATTTAGTCTTTCATGATTAAGAATGATTTTATCTCTCTATTTTTTTGTAGATGTCTTTTATCAGGTTGAGGAAGTTCCTTTCTATTCCTAGTTTGCTGGGTGTTTTTTGTCATAAAGGCAATTTTGTCAGTGCACTTTCTGTGTCTATTGAGATAATCATATGGGTTTTGTGCTTTATTCTACTGATGTTGTGTATTACATCAATTGATTTTAGATTATAAACAACCTTGCACTCATGGGTAAATCTCACTTGATCATTCAATATAATCCTTTTTATATGTTGCTGGATTCATTTGATAGTATTTTGTTGAGGATTTTTTTGAATCTATATTCATAAGAAATATTGGCCTGAAGTTTTCTGTTTTTGTGATAGCTTTGGCTGGTATTGGTTTTGGTATCTGGGTAATATTGGTTTCATAAAATGAATTAGGAGGCATTCCCCCCTACTCTATTTTTAAAAAGGAGTTGTGAAGGATTGGTATAAATATGTTTTAAAAATGTTTGATAGAATTCATCAATGAAGTCATCTAGACCTGGGCTTTTCTTTGTGGATTTAAAAATTAATAATTCAACCTTTTTTTTACTTATTATAGGTTTAGATTTCTTTCTTTTTTTTTGCTTTATTTGACTTTTATTTATTGTTTATAATACAAGAAAGTCATGTAATTTTGGAAGAAATGAACAACCACTAAAAAAAATTACATAATTATATGAAAAATTTCAACATATGTACATTCTTCTAGTATCATTTCTATGCAAAGTTTATAAATGTTTGTTTATTTTTTTACATTGCACCTACATTGTGAACATCTTTCCAAATCAGTATTCTCCAATGATTTCATTATTTTAATAGCTGCATAGTATTTAATCATATTTATGCTTTATTTAATCACTTCTATTATTGAATTAGTTGGCTCTTTCTACACTTTTGCATTATAAAAAATGCTGGAATTAATAATAATTCAGCTTTTAGAAATAAATCCCTAAAACGTATTTAGATTTTTTAAGAAAGTTTAAGAAGTTTGAGTCTTCCTAGGAATCTGTACATTTTGTCTGAGTTGTCTAATGGCATATAGTTGTTCATAGTATTCTTTTTTATATCTGTTGGTAATAATTTTACCTCTTTCATTTCTAATTTTACTGAAGTCTTCACTCTTGATCAGTTTAGCTAAAGATTTGCCAATTTTGTTGATCTTTTCAAAGAACCAAATTTTAGTATCATCGATTTTTTTCTTTTTTTTCCCTTTCTATTCTAATTTTTATTATTGTATTCATTCTGCTTGATTTGTGGTTAGTTTGCTCTACTTCTTATTTCTTGAGGTGGAAGGTTAGGTAGCTTATTTGAGATATTATTTCTTTTTAAATGTAGTCTATTACAACTATATAATTTTCTTGTGATTCTTTGACCCATTTATTATTTAGGAGTGTGCTATTTAATTTCCACACATTTATAATCTCAAATATCTTTCTGTTGATTTCTAATTTAATTCCATTGTGGTTGGAGAAGATACTTTGCATGATTTTAATCCTTTTACATTTACTGAGACTTGTCTTATGACCTAGCACTCCAGGTATACTTGAGAATAATGTACATTCTGCTGTTACTGGGTATAGTGTTGTAGATGTCTACAGATATCTGTTGGTCTAGGTATTCCATAATGATTGTCAAGTCTTTTATTTTTCTGATTGCTTGTTGGATTCATTATTGAAAGGAGAATATTAAAGTCTCCAACTATTATTGTTTAATTGTCTATTTCCCCCTTCATTTATGTCAATTTTTGCTTCATGTATTTTGAATTTATGTTTTTGGATGCATAAATGTTTATAGTTGTTATGTCTTCCTGATAAGTTAACTCTGTTACCATTAGGGAATATTCTTCACCTCTAGTTAAGTTTTGTATTAAAGTCTACTTTTCATGACTAGTATATCTACTTCAACTCTCTTCTGGTTTCTGTTTACATGGTATAACTTTTTTCATCACTTTGCTTTTATTCTGTTTGTATCTTTAATTATAATATATATTTGCTGTTGACATCATATTGTTGGATCTTGACTTTTTTTTGAAAAAAACTCAATCTGATAATTTATGCCTTTTGCTTAGATTGTATAATACAACTCCATTTAATGTTATTAATATGGTTAGATTTATTCCTGATATTTTCTTATTTTTTTATGTGCCTCAAGCCTTCTTTGTTCCTCTGTTCCTCATTTGCTTCCTCCTTTTACATTGAGTGAATATTTTTCTAGTGTAATATTTTAATTCCTTTAATAATTTTTAAATTATGATTTAAAAAATGATTTTTCAATTTGTCCTATGGCTTACACTATACATATTATATTACATAAATCTACTTTATGTTTATACTAAATTCCAATGAAATATTTATTTCATTGGAACTTTCCAATTGAAATTTTTCCAATTTCATTGGAAGGAAATATTTATTTCCTCCTTCTCTTCTTTATGCTATAATTGTTTTACATACTATGTCTATGAACATTGTTAAAATTATTATTTTATATAATCACTTGTCTTTTTTTTTCCTGAGACAGAGTTTCAAACTTCTAGTTTCAAGCCATCCTCCTGCCTCATCCTCCCGAGTGGCTGGGACTATAGGCGTATACCATGCCCAGCTAATTTTTCTATTTTTTGTAGAGATGGGGTCTCACTGTTGCTCAGGCTGGTCTCGAATTCCTGACCTCTGGCAATCTTCCTGCCTTGGCCTCCTGGAGTGCTAAGATTACAGGTGTGAGCCACCGCTCCCAGTCTCCTGTCTTTTTTTAAAAAGCTGAGAGAAGAAAGGAGAGCAAATATGTATTTATTGAATTTGTCATATTAACATTCTTTTCATTCTTCTATTTTTTAACCTTTTTTGATTCTTTTCATTTATTTCTTTGAATTCAAATTACCGTCTAGTATAACTTGTTTCCTTATTATAATAGAGGTTTGGTGACACCCACCTCCTTCATGCTATTAT